AGAGATCGGCGGTGTTGTAATTGTGCACATTCGGCAAATATTGCGCGCCGCGCGTGCAATATTTTGATGAGCCCCGGGAAAAGGTAGGAAAATCCGAGAGAGAGCGAAGGGGGGGGGGTTTAACATGAAAATGTAAAAGGGACTACTACAGAAATCGCCGTCGCGCGCCTTGTCTCGTCTTTGGAACGCGGTGTGGGAGGGACGAATGAATTCCGGTTGAACACAAAGACACAAGCGGTGGCCGAGAGAGCGCAGTGCGGGAAACGAAAGAAATTCTAAAGAACTGCCACGGAAATGGATGCTTTGGGAATAGAGTATTAAAGGTGTGCGGGAAGAGAGAAAGAAAGAGAGAGAGAGAGAGAGAGAGAGAAAGAGAGAAAAAAAAAAGAAAGAGAGAACGTGTCAGAGGATAGAGGGAGATGTGATAGTCGAAAATGAGGCGGAAGGAGCGACTCGGGAGAGGCAGAAGATGGACCAAAAGAGGCGACTCTCACATTCGGAAGCCATATCGAACCGCGTGACTCGAATGGAAGTCATGGGTCAAATTTTCCCGGTTGGACGTGAGAATTAGGTGTTTTGTGAGGCGGAAAAAACGAGAGAGAGAGAGAGAGAGATCGTTCCTATATCTATCACTCTATCACGAACTCTCTCTCTCTTTCCCGGATCCCTCGTCGGAGAATATCGGTGCGATTATTCCCGACGTGAATTGACATTTCACGAATCTTACGTATATGAAGATCGAAAAATTGATCGAAAGAAGAATTCTCCACGCGAAAAGTTTTTTTCGCCAATAAAATCTCTCTCTATTATTTTTTGATACGATTTTCTTTTCCATCTCTGTCTCCTAACCTTTGACACGTAGTTTTCACAAATTCATCGAGTTTTTCTTATTTTTTTTAACAACACGTCGCGATCATCGATATCAACTTTAAATTACATTTTTGAAATACTCGCGCGTTTCTCTCTCTCTCTCTCTCTCTCTCTCTCTCTCTCTCTCTCTCTCTTACTCTCTCCAACTAATTTAATTAGCGCAACGACGGACGTTTACGCAACTCGATGACGTATCCCGAGACACATCCAACGAGAGAGAACTCTCGATGGATGTTTGTGAAAGGTTTCCGTGCTGTGTAGAGAGAATTGCTGTTTGACGGAAGTACTGATGAACTTTTGATCCATCTTTCATTACATCACGACTTCGCAATCTAATCTCATTACCGCACCATAATAGAATGCCATGAAATGAGGCGGCTAAAATTGGAAATTTATTCGATTACGTTGAGGTATTAGCTTTGTTCCCTTCCCCCCCGCCCGTTGAAATCGCGGCGAGCAGAACGCGCGCGTACACATACATATATATACATTCCCAGGCGAGTGGAAATTCAACTTTCCATCGGATGCGCAGAGCGTGCACCGCAATTGGATATGCTTTATCAAAGATTTAAGCTACTCGCCGGACAGAGAGAGAGCGAACCTTATATCTCGGACAAATTAATCAACATTGTGCGTGACATTGTGACAATTTGTCCCGTTAACAATGTGATCGCGATCGAACGTAAATATTTTTATAATAAACCGATTCAACAAAAAATCATAATCTGTCCATCCGATAGTTGCGCGAACAACAAATTCGTTTTCCGCGGCAAAGACAAAAAACAAAACCAAAAAAAAAAAAAAAAATGCCGCGCGCGTCATCCGCAAAACTTCATCCATAAATCGGAACCGACGCGCGTTACGCAAGTATTGCCAATTTTTTTCGCCGTATCGCGCGCGTATCGATCGTCTCGCGATTGCAAAGCAGCCGTCAGTGATCTTGCATCGCATCGCGTCACAATGAACCGGGCGCCAAAAATTTATTTACCACGTCGGGAGCGCATCCGATTTTTCTCTTTTTTTTTTTTTCTTTTTTTTCTTTTTTTTCTCTAAAGTTCTCGTGACGTAACTGTTGCGTGTTTACTTGAAAACTCAGCGATGAGAGAAGAGGTAAGGGGGGGAGGGGGAGGCAAGAAAAGCACAGACCTACTTTGCGTATGATTTATTCGTCGGCGTGCACGCGGTTTGCAGCGGATGAGTTTTTAATGGCGGCATAATACGGAAGTAAAATTGCCGGTTTTCGTGGACGACGGGGATTAGATCTCGCGTGAGCGAGCGTGCGGCACATCAGTTTTCCATCGCGGATCGAAAGAGAATTACGCCGGTAAATAAATTTCCCGCCTTTTCTCGCTCGCTTCCCGTCTCTCTTTTCTCCGGAATGATAAGATATGTGTCCTGAAAAGGTAGAGACGCCTCACAGGGGTCACTTCCGCACTGGAGAAAGAGAGAGAGAGAGAGAGAGAGAGAGAGAGAGAGAGAAGAGAGAGGAGAGGAAAAGACTCATCGATACGTCTTCTCGAGAACTTACAAGCCCTCAATAGCCCGTCGACTGATTACTCTCGCGCGAGATCTCGACAACATTCGAATCTCATACCACATATGTCACTGCCATTGCGACACACACACACACACACATATATATCCGTGTGTATAAGCCTTTCGATTCTAAGTTGTATCCGTTGCTACAAATTTATCCGCTTTGAATGTGTACGTATACCGAGTTTAATTCCGATAAAGTTTGCTCTTTTTTTCAGCGCGCGGAAAATATGGAACGCCACTAAATAAAGATTTACCAAATAAGCAAATAATTCACCCGTGTACGTGTTTTTTTTTTTTTTTTTTTTTTTTTTTTTTTTTTTTTTTTTTTTCTAACGCCATAATTCGCGATAAACGCGACCTGCGATCGGATAAGTGCGTCCGAAACACAGATACGCTCTTATCTCGCTGCTTTTTTAACGTTGGTTACCGGATCTCTTCGTGGTACCTGTTCGTGGACAGCGGCAACTTCGTCATCTGTTTCAGATCGAAAGAAAAAGAGAGCGAGAGAGAGAGAAGGAGAGCAAGGAGAGAGAAAAGGCGGAGAAAGATATACGAGCAGATAAATCACGCTCTCTCGTGCGGGGTTTTTCTTTTTTCCCCTCGACCTATCCAACGCCCACCTTGGTAGCCGCCATGACGACGCGTTTCCACGACGTGCCATTATTAAGACGCCGGGCGCCGCGACGTCTTGCCGCGCGCGCGTTTGCGATATATATATATATATATATGTGTGTGTATATATATATATATTTTTATGTATAGACAATCCGCCTCTCGAGCGTCGCATAAAGAACTCACTCGACTCGCGGTTTTACTTGCATCCCGCGATCATACCGCCCTGTTGATCGCTTTTTATTCGTTTCGTACATTCTCAAGCAAATTTAAATCGCAATTATACTATCTCGCGAAAAAAAAAAACACTTTTTTATTTTGATGAGAAAAGTGCAAAAATCGCGCGGTAAATATTTGTTGTTACGGTGCGACGAAAGCGAAACCAAAGAAAACCGAACGACTTAACAAGCGAAAACTGATAAAGAAACTCTCGGCGGGTGTAATTGAGGAATTCATTGTAACAGAGAGAGAAAGAGAGATTTAATTTGCGCGTGTGTGCGTGTTTTTCTAAGAATTTGTAAAACTTAATCTCACAAGTTAAACGAATTCAATTTAGATTAATTTTCCTCCGAGTTCTTATGAAACTGGGTTAAACCACTGTTGCGCGCTGTGAACCTTCTAATTACAGAAGAACCTTATACCAAAATTGAGAGAGCAAAAAGCACCGGAATATGTTATATACGCACATATGCGCGCCGAAGTTTTGCGCAAGTTTCGCAATCGCCAGTCCCCGTGTTTGAAGCACACATTGTAGCACATTTGTGTGTTTATTGATTTTTATTGAGTGCACAGCAAGAGCGAGAAAGAGATAGAGAGAGAGTTTGTACAATATAATTTCTTTTCGCACTTAATTGTTACAATTAACGCGCGATATATGAAATTACATGTATATGTATTAAAAATTACACGTCAATTATTAATTATTAAAAAACTACATACTCGTGACATAAAATTCCGAACAATTAATAATCGCAATTGTTTTTTTTTTTTTCACGAAGAAAAATATTTTCCAACTCGATATGCGCGTGCGCGCGAATGAATACAGGGGTCCTACACCCCCGGTTGTCTACGTATATGCGCGATGAAAGCGTTATATAATTTGAAAGCCATGCGCCGAAATTGCATGAAACTTTCAGGAAATGTTAGCAATACCGTTACGGATATAACGATGCCATTGCGGTGGCCCCGGGGCGTCGCATTCCCCGTATATATATTGTACAAACACGAAGGGTTAAATGTGGTTTACCAATTGCGCGGTTAAATTCCGCTACGTTTTCGAATCCCTCCGAGGAAATTACCTGTCGAAGTCAATCGTCCGTTCTTCTCTCTGCATATTAGTCGACTCGT